TCCAATGTAAAATGTTAAAAATTAGGCAAAACAACAACCTTATTTTGGCGTTTCTAGAGCGTTCAGACACAGGTCTTTCTTCTTCAGAAGCAGAAACTGATTTTTTTTTTTTTTTTTTTTTTTTATACTCCTGATGAAGAGGGACTTGTATCTGATTGCTCTAAAAATCGATAAAGTTTTATTAAAAATCTAGGCCAAAATAAAGTTGTTGTTCTGAAAAATTAAACGGAAAAAAATGTGAGAGAAAGATAATGGAACATCAATGCACAATTTTCAGTTATCAAATTATCTTCTTATCTGCGCAAAGTACATTTGTTGATGATTTCGAATACTGAGTAAGAATAAGATGCAACATTATTAAAATATTTATATTGTTGCGTGCGTACGAGTTCGTAACAGATTGAATGCACAAGTCCAATAATAGGTTAATAAAATTTATTCCATCAAAAGAAATATTTCAGAACTCTGGAATTTTCCACATAAACACTTGTACAGGTGTCACAGTATCACACAATACAATCAGTAGTTAAGCTTCAAACTATTAAAAACGTCAAACACAACGCAATGCAAAGTGCATCTGAAGAGAAAGCTAACTCGGATATCTCAATTCACGCGGAACTAAACAACTCGCGACATCAGTAACTAACTAAGCAAATCACCTCAGATGCTCTCTCTCTGGCCTTTTATAGTTTTCAACCGGTCGCGAGATATTTCTAGCACTTTCTGTTTCTCAAAATTACTGAGAAGCAATATTACTGAGTGTTGAATTACGGTTACAGCTAACATAGTGGTCAATTACATTTATTCAATTTCAATACATATTGTGGTGATACAGGCACTAGCCAAAATGTCGCCAAGTAATCTCCAAATTTGGTGTGTTTTGGCAATTTATTGCCAATTTTGGCGACAATTTTTGCAAACGTTGTCAGCTTGGCGATGTCTCGCCAAATAACAGAGATACCCATTTACTCAATGTTAAGTGCTCTTGCTGCTGCATTCTTACTTTTCCGCCATAGCTTTCTCTTAAAATTTGTCTCGCGCTACATTACAGAGAAAAATACGACAATTTTACTTATAATTCTACTAAAATTACCTATCTAAGTGCAAAATTCGCAAATTATGCTAAACGCTTTATTCTGTATCGCAGTTCTAGAGCTAGTCTGAGATGTTACGAGAAATTACTCTCTACAAGAGACCGACAATATAACTAAATGACAGGGTTTGCAAAAAGACCGTTTGATTTTCCTTTTTTACATTCCGGAAAATAATTTGGCTTCTTTTTGTTTTCTTTCTTTTTTAAAATACCGCGTTCTTCTGTTCTTGTTGTCCTTTTCTTTGTTACCCTTGCTTGATCAGGCAAGGCTAATTACGTGGTAAAGGAATACCGGCATGAGATAATAGTGAACTTTTAAGTAACACTGAGGATTGCGGTTGAGAAAAACTACTAATACAGATTTATTAAAAAAAAAAAAAAAAAAAAAAAAAAATAGCCGTCATGATACTTAGCAAAAGACAGTTATGATGCAAGCATCACAGAACACCGTAACATAAGACTGGAACTGGTTGAAAAAGATCTCAGTGGTATTATGACTTATGAATTGTAGTTTAATGTGAATACCCGTTATTAACATTGCTTCAACTACTAATGTACGGAACGAAGAGGAGGGGGGGGGAGGAACTCTCTTGTAATAACAGCATGCATCTCTGGTATTAACTGGAAATAGATTAAAAAAAAATCCGCAAAAGAACTTTCGAAAGGTTTTTGGGTTCACATTTTGAAGCACGCACTTTTTACAGTCTCGCGCCCCCCTCCCCGCGACTTGGAAAGGGAAAAAAGAAAATTTGGAAGCCATTTTATTACCTACTGCCAAGCCCTCTCTAACCTAAAGGGTTGTGTCGAACACGATTTGGTAGCCGAAGTACTTATTTTACCTTCAAAACTTCAAAAATAAGTATCACAATTTGAGAAGGACATAATTCGATACGGATGTTAAGAGAAAGATTTTCAAGTTGGGACTGAAAACCTTAGGTGGTAGTGTTTGTTATTAAGAGAAAAATAGGATATTGCTGATGTTAGACCGTCAGTTAAAGTTAAATGTGAAAGTCCACGAAGGTTAAATGACATAAAAGTAAATAGTTATCTTTATTTCAACAATATAACTAGAACAATTAACAAAATCAAAGACACTGGCATTTTGAAAGTATCACGAAGTTTCTTACCTTTTGAATCATTTTTTCTAAAATATATTTTACTTGTACCCCAGAAAAAAAAAAAAAAAAAAAAAAAAAAAAAAAAAATCTGGAAGCTTTCAGATTTTATATTACGCGCAAAAAAGCGTTTTTCTTAACGTTTTGTGCGTTACCTTATTTATTAAATAACATGTGCGTACTTAAACCACATAGAATTCAATTCAACGGCAATATCACAAAAAATTTAAAAACAGCATATCTTTAGAATTTCCGATACACAATCTCGCGCGTTAGAGATAAAAATGTTTTTCGTACAGGGTTGCCATTGCTCGCTTTGAAATCGTTGAGTTTGTTCAACAAAAATTCATTAAAGTGGTACAAAATATGAAATAAGTAATAAAACAAATTCCAAATTAGGGCTTCCAGATGCCCATATTCGGGTGGAGGATTACGTTATTCAAAATTTGATGGCTCTAGGTACCGTTGTTTTTTTACAGTGCAAGAAACATTCATGCATTCATGCAAATTCATCATTATTTAGTTTCTTTAAATATAATACATGGCGATAATAGTTGGTGGCAACAGTTTGAAAACTGAATCAACGCAGAAAGTGAAACGACATAAAATGTCGTCACAAAATGTTAGTCTCATAGCCCTTTGGGTCTAACGCCCCTTTGGGCTAAAAGCCTAATGAGCAACAGTTAACAGCTGTTTAAAGAGGGAAAAAAGTAATTATTATTACGTTGACACTAATATTTTCGCTAAAATCCTCCCTTGTTGTTATTATTGTTGATATACTAATTCTTCTCTGTATGTCGGTGAAATGCTTCCTCAGGCCAACCTCCAGCATTTCATACGCCCTAGACGACTGGATATTTAAAATCATATTATATCTTTATTTTGTCAATTGAAATATAAATCTCTCAACATTTGCAACCTATTTAATGAACTCTATATTTTTTCCCCCACAAAGCGAAGTCTTAAATCATGTTTCCTACTGTTATACCACAGAAAATTAATTTTCTGCTTAAAAAATATGTAAAAAAATTTAACTTTTCCTAAACATTACCTCAAGTTCTAATTATCTTTCATCTGATAAAAATCCTCTTCAGTGCGGCTATTGATATCGAAACTGCCTCCCCCTTTCCAATAATTATAAACATATTACAGCAGGCAGCAACTACGTAACATGCCCGGTGAGAGGCAGAAACATGCTCTGTCTTACAATCCAAAAACCTCCAACAAAACCACTCTCGCCCCTCATTTATATTCTGGTGAGGAAACGAAAAGGAGAATTTATAGTAGAGGCTGAAATTATAAATAACTGGTTAATTTAAAAAATAAATCTTACAATTTTATAGCATAAACATATATCAACTACTCGTATCAGAGGTACATTTAACTAATTTATGAAATTACGCTTCGCTTAATCAATCGAGTTAGAATATTGATCACCATTGCCAGCAAAAAACCTATTCCTGATCACTTACAAGATAAAAATAAAAATCTCTGCGATCTAAAAACCCTGGCAATTGCAAGCTAAAGCAACGTACTCTTTTCATAAGTTGCATTATTTTGGAATGCTGTATATATTCAAGAATCTAATCATGATAAGAAAACTGCAAATATATATAACATGGTAAATTTTCGAAAATAAGTAAACGATTTTCGTCGAATTTTTTTTAACTATAAAAACTTAAATCGTTGTTTCCTCTTAAAATTGAGGAAGATTATATTAAGTTATTTTAACTCTATTTAATTGTACTCATTAATAATATTAATGAATTATTCCAAATTAAGGCTTCCGAATGCTCATATTCGGATCCCGACGTACATTATTCAAAATTTGATGGCTCGAGATACCGTTGTATTAACACAATGCAAAAAACATAATTACATTTATGCCAATTCTTCATTATTTAATTTCTTTAAATGAAACGCAGGGTGATAATATTTGGTGGCAACAACTTGAAAAGTGAAATGGACATTTAAAGCTTTCGGCGCAAAATGCCAAAATGAAATTAATAGAACTTCTGGGCTAGTGCTCTTTGGGCTAAAAAAAGAGAGAGAAAGAAATTGTACGTACAGTTTTTATTGTGATTAGCTGAATTTTCTTTTTTATTTACATCTGTTATATTATGCCTCACAGGTAGGGGGCCGATGGGATTCTCGGGAATTCGGGAAGTTTCCCGAAGCGCCGGAGGCCATGGATTTCCTAGTATCGATTACCTTGTTAACTTGATATCGATAGGTTACCTGATACTTTGTTAAGCGATATCGATTGTTGACAAACAAATGAAAAATTAATCAGAATTGCAAAATTATGCAACAAATTCACACAAAAAAAGAGCAACAAGAACTTTGCGTTAAAATAACACACCGAAAAATGACTGTTGGCGATGTTAAAACAAGAAGAAACACCTACTTTAACACCTCTAATAATAAATAAATAAATAAATAATAACAATAATAAGTAAATAAATAATAAATAAACAAATAATGATTAATAATAATAACAACAATAAATAAACAAATAATGATAAATAATAATAATAGTAATAATAATAATAATAATAAAACTTATTGAAGGAAAACATTTAATGACTCCTCAAAGAAGGAAAATTCAAAAATAAGCTAACGGTAAACGAATCAAACTCATCCTCTTAATCCCGTCGTCGTTAGCTCGTTGGAAATTACAATCTGATTATCTTCTCCACAGTATAAAAGCGGAGGATCTTCATGGCTTGCCACACCGACAATTTCACAAAAATGCCAATTACCTTTATGCAAGTCGGCGACTATTCACTTACATAAATATCTTTACAGGATGAAGAATAACTCTTCTTCGGTTCTATTAGATATCTCTACTTTTTCCACAATCCTGCAATTAGATATTTAAATAAGTCCACTGTCCAACGAGAATAAGAATGAAAAAAAAAAAAAAAAAAAAAAAAAAAAAAAAAAGCACAAAGTATCCCGTAACAAATTATGAGGTATGAAATAACTATGAAGAAACACTTTGCATTTCGGTACTAAGAAAGGCAAGTAGGGAGGAAAGCGAAAGAGTCGGCGACTATTCACTTACATAAATATCTTTACAGTCCCAGCATCTTCATGAGAACTGCATTCTTTACGGTATACAACTTCATAAGTTAGCCATGTTTTGGCGAACAGTTATCCATACACAAAAAGATAACTGTACCCTTTTCAAATTATCCGCTTCTGGCAGTCCAGCCCCATCCACCCCTGCTTCCTTGGGATTGAGTTTCTTTTTTCTTTATACCCCCCCTTCTTCACAGATATACATTCATGTAAATTCGCGCATATTGTTTACATTCGTAAAGAGTATGTGATGCGCTTATCGACTTATATAAATCTGAGAGAGACATTAAATTTGATAAAAAAGTTAAAATTCATTAAATCGAAGTGAAAAACGCTTAAGGTGTAATACTGCACATATTTCTTTTCTTACTTCAGACAGCATATAATCAGCCTTTTGAAGAATTACAACGTAAACATGCACCTTGTAATTTACTCCGGACGGTCTACATGTATAACACATGCTTGCTCAGGAACATACTGTGACGGCTATGCGATCTAAATTATACATGGTGGTTATAATCAAGTGGTTAATGCCGGGAAACGTTAGAAGTTTACAGTGAGTTTTGCTCCTGGCTGTTTAAAAGGCTGGCAGTATGACGTTTCTGAGTAAGTAGTAATGTAAGTAGGAGCCAGTTTTCTTTAAAAGGTACTTCGTGGAGGCTTCTCACCAAGCAGACAGCCAGCACTAATGTGCTTTGTCCTAATGAAATAATCCAGTGTTACTTAAATACTTTACAATTCGCACCAGTATTAAATATTCATAAATGGAATAGATGAATAAAAAAAATAAAAAAATCTGAAAGTTTTTAAATTATATTATGCCCAAGAGGGCTTTTTTTTTAATATTTTGTGTGTTACCTTTATTTATTAAATATCATGTTCTTAGCACTGAAACCATAAAAATTCAATTCAACGGCATTGTCACAAAATAATTTAAAAAGGCCATATCTTTAGAATTTCCGATACACATTCTCGCTTGCTGGAGTTCCCCTACAGTGTTGCCATTGCTCGCTTTTAAATCATTGAGTTTGTTTATAAAAATTCGTTCAAGTTTTACAAAATATAGATAATAAATGCCCATATTCGGATGGAGGCTTACGTTATTCAAAATTAGCAGGCTGTAGGTATCGATGTTTTATCACAATGCGAGAAACATACATACATTTATGCAGATTCATCATTATTTAATTTCTTTAAAATATAATACAGGGCGATACTATTTGGTGGCAACAAAGCGACACGCCATTTATATTATATCTAGTGATTCGAAGCAAAATGCCGAAACGAAATAAATAGCCCTTCTGGGCTAACGCCCTTTGGGCTAATAAGTTGTTGAAAGCAAAATATTTTGCTTTAGGTACGGTAGATTTAAAAAATATACAGTTCAATCACTCTGTTAGCTCAGCTCTGAATTCTCAACATGTCATTAAAATGAAGATAACTCTTCTTCGGTTCTATTAGATATCTCTACTTTTTCCCCAATCCTGCAATTAGATATTTAAATAAGTCCACTGTCCAACAAGAATAAGAATGAAAAAAAAAAAAAAAAAAAAAAAAAAAAAAAAAGCACAAAGTATCCCGTAACAAATTATGAGGTATGAAATAACTATGAAGAAACACTTTGCATTTCGGTACTAAGAAAGGCAAGTAGGGAGGAAAGCGAAAGAGCGATTTTTTTTTTTTTTTTTTTTGGTCTTCTTCCAAAGAGGCTGGACCTGTTTTGATGTATGCAATTAGGTCTAGGAGTAAATCTTCAAGGACATTCGCTGCTACCAGTTTAAAGGGAGAGTTTCTGTGTCAAAAAAATCTTGAGTCACTTATTGGTTGAAGTGGGTCAGGATGTGGCGTTTGAGGGCGTTCAATAACATTACCTTTTACGGAAACCACATAGACTCTTATGGGATGGATGTGAAACCATTTCCCACAGGTATTTCTCAAGAATCAGTAAGCTTAGGAAATTCAAATTTAAGCGTCAACAAAATTTCATTCAAATCCGCAGGCCTTTGGCATTGCTCTTAGCTTCTTTTTAAAATTAATAACATCAATTTATTCCTTTCATAAATCCTCTTCTTGTTCCTAATACATCATCAAAAGCAATCTCTTTTTTTTTCTAGCACCTTATCATAATTAGCATTTCTTTCTTTAGAATGAATATCGAGAGCTTGAGGGAATCAGAATGTTCTCCTGCAAGCGTGTGTTTATACTGGTATCTTTGCAATTGAATTTTGTTGGAGTATAGTATATTACCTTATATTCACCAGCAGTGGTATGCAGCCCGGTATTACTGTTACTCTTAATAAATTCCTGACAAACTGGATCATTACGCTGTAGGTAATGTCAAATCTTTTTGTTATTGTCTTCCTACAATTGGAATTTCTTGTTTTAGCAGTTTGCTACAAATAATTTTCTAAGCCCAAAAAGTTTCTTACTTTAATTCGATAATATTGAAGCAAAACTTGGAACTGAAATTGAAAGCGGAATTCCTGAAAACACATTAACACAGATCATAAACCTTACTGATGGCAATGTTTACTTTTGGCTGCTTTTTTTTTAAGTATGTCAGGTGTGTTTATACACTTCTTTTATTTCTAAGGCTAAATCTGAGCTTAGATTCCCTAATAATATTTAGTTGCTCGTGGGAGAGCTCATGAGCAACCAACTATGATTAGAGATTCACTTTATTGCTCAAAGGTTCACTATGATAAGGGCTTCTCTAAAAACTTTATTTCAATTAGGAATTTCATTTAAGATCTCCCTCAATTTTAGATGATTACCTTGACAAGAGTTTTCCAATATGCTGAAGAAGGATGGCCAATATCTTGCATAATACCTTTCCAATATGCTAAAGGAATATGACCAATGGTCACAGAATTCATTAAGGCCGAATAACTTGCATAATACCTTTCGAATATTTTGAAGGAAGACGGCAAATACCTTACATAATACCTTTCCAATATGCTGAAGTAAGATGGTAAATACAATACGTAATACCTTTCTAATATGCTGAAGGAATATGACCAATAGTCATAGCATTCATAAAGGCCGAATACCTTGCATAATATCTTTCCAGTATCCTGAAGGAAGATGGCAAATACCTTACATAATACCTTTCTAATATGCTGAAGGAATATGGCAAATACATTGCATAATACCTTTCTAATATGCTGAAGGAATATGGCCAATAATCATAGCATTTATTAAGGCCTAATACCTTTCCAATACACTGAAGGAAGATGGCAAATACCTTACATAATACCTTTCTAATATGCTGAAGGAATATGACCAATAGTCATAGAATTCATTAAGGCCGAATAACTTGCATAATACCTTTGAATATCCTGAAGGAAGACGGCAAAAACCTTACATAATACCTTTCCAATATGCTGAAGGAAGATGGCAAATACCTTACACAATACCTTTCTAATATGCTGAAGGAATATGACCAATAGTCATAGCATTCATAAAGGCCGAATACCTTGCATAATACCTTTCCAGTATCCTGAAGGAAGATAGCAAATACATTGCATAATACCTTTCCAATATGCTAAAGGAAGATGACCAAAAGTTATAGCATTCATTAAGGCCGAATACCTTGCAGAATACCTTTCTAGTATGCTAAAGGAAGATGGTTAATACCTTGCATAATACCTTTCTAGCATGCTGAAGGAAGATGGCAAATAGTCATAACATTCTTTAAGGTTGAACATTTGTTAAGCTTCGATTATCAACCAAAACAAAGCTCCCAATAATTCAAAAATTATTTACCCTGCTGACTATGCAATGCTCATGCTTGTCAACAGTTAATTGTTTTTGATTAGCTACATCGGATTGAGTGCTTTTACGTGCTATTAACTGCATTAATATCTAAAAGTTATTTAATTTAACTTCCCGCACACTTACTGTTTGCTGATGTATTTGTAAAGCTGGACTTCAACTACTTATCCTTTCTATATCATGGATTATTAACAAAACTGCATGAAACATAAAAAAAATCTTAAGTTGTAGATCAATACCCGAAATAGTAACGGAGAATATTTAGTCGTATTTTAAAGGCAAATTAGTAAGAAAATATACTGCGACATAAGACATACTGAACACATTAAGTCGAGAACTCATAATATAGAAATACGACAGATTAATTTGTTTGTTATTGCAAAATTATCGAAGATCATCTTCTATAAAAGAGTTGGTTAGTTGGTTCATTGATTACGGCAAACATGTAAATTCCATCTATAGATATGCCTTCGCGTAAGTGAAACTACACACTACACATGGGCAAATAGAAGGAAATCTTACTTAGGCAACTCTACTAGTAGGAGCCGAATTCGAGATGAAGATTTCCTTTTCAACTTACATTCCCACCAAACTGCAGATGTAACATTCAGCAACATTTCCACTAAGCAGAGGACTGACGTCTGCGGAACTTGCATGGTCCACTTGAGCAGAGTGGATAAAGATCGTTGAATAAAACTAGTGTGACCAGAGTTCGTGCTTGGGCTAAGAGACCGAGAGATTTCCCCCATGGACAACGCGAATACGCACCGGTTTTCCTTAGAAAGTGCTCCAGAAAAGCATTGCTCTCCAAGCAGAGAGCATTATCCACTATACCACTATACTGTGTGCTTAATCATAATCTAACAAATCCAGTGGAGGAGCTGTACAGGTGTTACTTGATGCCTATTGCAGCTGCAATGAGACCTTCAGGATGGTTAACAAAATGCTAAAGTGGACGATTCTTATAATGAGTGGTCGCTTCAACAGAAGTAGATTCAACATATTTTCATCAGACAGGCAAATAGGGCATCGATCATTGGAACAGAATGATCATTATAATAAGCGATCGGGTACAACAAGCGACGATTGTATTTGTTTTTATCTTTCTTCCTTTAATAATGATTAATATATATATAGGTGATAATTCTAGAAGCTATTGAAACACAGCATAAGAAGCAAAAGTAAAATAAGAGTAATAATATTTCTCCCCCATTTTTTATGCCGTAAAATATTCAACACAGCTGTTTTAATACAATAAATATTCAACATAGATGTAATAATAATATATTTAAGAGGAAGGATCTGAGTAACATTAGACTGTCTATTATATTAGAATAAAAAGTGAAATGATAATTTAATTATTTGGGGCAAAGTTCTAACAATTCCAAAACATGTGAAAAAATAAATAGAATAAGAAAAGTTGTTCTGTGTACATATAGATCTTATTTCCTAATGTAAATCTCATTTGGATTTTTATTTTATTTTTTAAAATTTTTATTTTGCAACATGTAAAAGAAAAATCCCGGATTCTGAAGCTCTTTGGATATGATGCGGATAATCCACATATTCTGAACTGCCTTAATGTCGTGCATGCTAAGTATTTATTTCAGAAAAATCTGAAATAAACAAGAGTAAATTATCCCAAATATTCGTGAAATATAGGAATTGGAAGTGCAGAAATGCAGAGAGAAAATGCTAAACGAACTATACCTATGTCTTTATACGATAATATTCAAAATCTTTTTACCTATACGTATACACCATGACCAATCACAGAGTCATGTTGTTCAGCCAGCACCTAGCCAGACCCCATATGCCTTTAGGCGTCTAATCAAGTAAACGGTAAAAATACCTTTAAAGAAATGCTTAACATTCCAATAGCAGGAATTCGACAAATAGCATTTTTAATTTAACGCAAGAATTTTAGTTTGACTGAGAAGTGTTAAAAATAAATAATTATTTTTCATCAGTAAACATTCTGAGCAGTTGAGAGAAACAGATATTGGTGTTTATATCAATATGTTACATCATATATTAGAAGACTAAAAGACAAATGAAAGATTCAAGTTTAAAGCTTGAGAGTAAGAGAAAGTATATAAAATTATATTTATTAGGATAATGATTTTTGTTCAATATTAAAAAAAGGGCGTTCTCAATTAAATAACTTAAGGGAAAAGTAATATATGTATAATTACAAAACAATTTTTTTTTAAATAAAATATAATCATGCCTAGTATTTTCGCGCATTCTGGATACAGAAAAGCAAGGATTTTTGTAGAAGAGATATTTCCATTGATTTTAGTGTACCTCCTCCTAACAAAGTGGCATTGAAGCTGATTGAATTCTTCTTCTATTATGTCTTTTTTTTTCAAATTTCATTGATTTTTTTTTTTAATTGGGGTATTGCTTGTTTGCAGAGTTTTGGTTTTAACAATTATCAAATTTTTTATTTCATTTATAGCATTTTTCGAAATTTATAAATTATGAATTTCAATTTTTGGTCTTTTGTGAAAAACTGGTTTTAAATTTCTTACTTTATGTTTGCTTATACGGAAAGACATGCTTGCTTGTACAGTTTTCAAGTATAAAATGTTTAGTTACTTTACTCATCTCTAAAACTGAAACGAAAGCTCAAGAAAAACAAATTGCAAAAAAACTCATTGTCCCGTGCTGGATCAAGGGGCGAATGATACACGTACAAGGAAAGCCTGCGCATGCGCATTCCGAAGATACACTAAATGACGCCTGGCCTTGCTTACTCCGCCCCAATTTTGATGCATAACACCTCGAAGTGCGGTCCGAGGTTCTTCTATCCCCTCTTTTCCTACCATCCACTCGAGCGGACCTCAGGATCGCCTCGTATTTTGAATGCCTCCCTGCCGCACAGACACTATACATTGACAAATATCCAAGACTTCTTCGGAATTCGAATCAAGCCTGAAGATACATCAGTCAGGAGCATTATCCACTATACCGGTTAGAGCGATGACGGGGTTGCTCAGCATTATGTTTAATGGTGGCATCAAATGTGTCAAAAAGTTATTTTAAATAATGTAGTTTTTTTTTAATACCAAAGAGCTCCCAAGACGCTTTCTGTCTTGCGCGCAAAATAATCGTCGTTAAACACTCACTGTAAACACTTGGACATACGAAACTTTCCAGCTAGGGGCGGAAAAAACATTAAATTATTTTATTTGATTTATTACTTTTGCGTCCGAATCACTTTTTAAATTGTTGCCACCAAATATTATCACCATGTATTATTAAAAACTAATTAATGAAGAATCTGTATGTATGTGTGTATGTATGTTCCACGCACTACGGAAAATGACGGTACCTAGAGCCACCGAATTTTTAATATGCGCAGTCCTGTGCTTGAAAATGGAGACCTCGAAGACTGAATTTTGAATTTAAAATTTGTTTTTTAAATTATTTCATAGTTTTTACAAATTTAACGAATTTTTATGTAATAAACTCAGCGATTTGAAAGCCAGAAACAGCAACACAGCTGGAATAAAGCATATATTTATCCTTAGATTTTAATCCATAAATTAGACTATTTGAAAGCAGTGTGTTACCGCTGTCTCAAACAAAATACTTAAGGTATTCAGTACAGTCTAAGATATTTAATCTTATTTTCTTAATGTCTACGTTTTAATCCGATTGATTTAAACAAAATGTGATATTAGCTTACTCATTAAAATCATTATACGTATTACATTTTTATGATAAATCTTATAGGCGGTTGGCAGCTCGAGCTGTCTGTTTTCAAAGAAATAGTATAGCGAATATAAAATAATGTCCGTCTACCCCTAATATTCTATCGCGAATTTTAAATATATGCTGTTTTTAAACATTTAGAGATTTTTTAAATATTTAGTGATATATATATATATATATAATATATATATTTCATCAAGCAAAGCAGTAACAACAATTTTTGAAAAACCAATTTTGGTCAAGAAAACATCTTGCGCAATATGCTGCAAAATAAGTAAAAAATAAAAATTGTAGAAAGCTCGCCTAAAAGTTACCAAGAGCTGCTGCTCCAAAAGGTTGAAGACGTTTTCAAAAATTAATACACATGAAAAGCAAATCATTAGACATGTAAAACATAAATCTGTTTTTTCTGTTTTTTAATTTTATTGTATTTAATTTTATTGTATTTAATTTTTTATTTAATTTATTTTAATTTTATGTGTATTAATTTTTGAAAACGTCTTCAACCTTTTGGAGCAGCAGCTCTTGGTAACTTTTAGGCGAGCTTTCTACAAGTTTTATATATATATTTCTATATATTTGAAATCACTGAGTTTGTTAACGAAAAATTTGCTTAAGTTTTACAAAATATGAAGTAGATAATAAAACAAATTCCTAATTTGGGCTTCCAGATGCCCACATTCGCGTGGAGGACTATGTTATTCAAAATTTGATATCTCTAGGCACCGTTGTTTTTTCACACTGCGAGAACTATACATACATTCACGCAGATTCTTCATTAGATGAATAGCAAAGCACAGCTATTAAAACTATTTGTTTAATTAAGTTGGGCTTTTCCAGAAGTGATAATTTTAACTTATAAAATGTAATATAAATGGAATCAAAGGCAATTATTGAATTATACTACAACTATTTGTTTTATCCCGCATAGATTAAAGGTAAGAAAACTCCATAACATTTTCGTAATAAATAAAATCTTATTTATATAGTTTTGCATCTATCGAAAATTAATACGGCACCAATTCTGCCCTTATGTCATTCAATAATTAATTAAAGGTTGTTAAATACTAACCAATGTCAAATTAATGAAAAGTGTAATGAGATTTTTTTTAAACAAATGGATGGGACTTTTTTTTCTCTCTGAAACACAAAATAAATTATAAAAACTTAAATAATCTGAATTTATCTGTTTATTTTGAAAACAATTCGATTGACATCGTAAGTGATCTAAACAAGTTTTGATGTCAGAAAGACAATCAATCAGAGATGTTTATATCTTGAACATAAATAATAATAACAACAAAAATGCAGTAAAAACATTTTGACCGTTTTACCTTTCAATTTTCACGCTACTTATCCGAATTTACAAATTTTAAAAATATTCAAATTTAAACTACATTAAGAAAAATTCTTTAAATATTCTTAAACTACCGAAATATATATCACAGCATCACACGTGGTTGACTCTATTTCCAAGTGCCAGTTCTTTTCAAATTGTAGTAAAAATATCAGCCATTGTTGATTCAATTATTATTCATTCATTGTTGATTCATAATTAATTAAGTAAAAATATGTAAGCATACCTGAGTTTAAAATGACTCTAACGTCTCCCATTGGCACACTGCGCTATCATGCATTTCGACGCTTAAAATCCAAGAATGATCTTTCTGTCAGTGACAGTTCGGCAACTTTTCCTCTGACAGAGTCAGTTTGACCGGTTGCACGGCGTTCACCGTGACCGCCGCTTTCGAACGTTCTCTCTCGACTACTGAAGTGAAAACGAAGGCGAAGAAACGGCCATCTGGTTTCTTGTGACGTCATTAAGGTCGGGGGAAGGAGTGAAAAACTTGTGGAAGGAATAAAGAAGCAAAAAAGAAAGCTATTTTTCTTTTGAGAAAATCGGGTTCTTTGCAGTTTCGAGATTGTTGTTAAAGTCAGTGGTCACCTGAACGCGATAATATTTGACCGTTTTTCTCCTTCGTCTCCCAAAGAAAAGAGAACTTTAAAATGATTGATTCCCGCTTAGGAATAAAAGAAAAATAAAATCAACATAGCTGTTGTTTAAACGCGAAGTTAATATACTACAAAAATCTTAATTTGATACATGACGAGTTCATTGACAAAAGTTTTCAAATGGCGTTAAAAAGCAAAATTTTAAAAACTAAGAATGTTTTACAATGTATTAAAAATTAGCAAAAAGAAAAAATGAAATAATGGTAGAGAAGGCCAAAATTTTTTTTAAAAAATTGCATATTATTTCCGTTTTCTTGGAATTAAAAGTTTAGTTCCGCATAATTGGGGATGGCCAGTTGTTGGAATATTGTTTAAATGACTATTCGGTTTAAAGTATATTTGTATTGCACTCAAATCAAATCTCTATTCAAATCAAATATAAATATTTGTATATATTTATATTTGATTTTGAATTTCGGATTTACATATAATGTTATTAGACAAATTTGGTTTTTTTCGAATGGTCACTTTACATTATGTAAAATTTTATTAATAATTTTATTTATTTATTTATTTATTTATTTTTTTGTGTGTAACCAATTTGAAACAGTGCTTTGTTTTATTCTTTTTCCAAGTGTTTCGAAGGCGTGTAGGGAAAATCCTGGTACATTTGAGATTCACTTTTTTCGATTTTGTATGAATTTTAATGTAATGAAAATTTGTTTCTTTTTTCGGTTTTTGCTTTCAAATGAACCAAGAAAACGAAACGCGTTTTCGAAGCATATTAATCAACTTTTATGAATACAATACAGTTAAAATACTTTCTTTACTTAGCACAAGGAATTATAAAAAGAACTGATTCTGACAATATTAACATGCTGACTTTGTTCAGGTAATTGAAAGTGGTACCCATTACATATACACGCTTACATAATCTCTGAAAATGAATCCGAAACGCGGTTCACCTCCTTCGAAAGCGAAAAAATAAATAGAAAAACATCTTTGTTTTTTATATATTTACAAATATAATTTCATAACAGATAGGCGCGCAAATAGGGCAGTAAAACAAATGTAGGTGTAAAGCAAAATAAAATATTAATTGAGACACGCAGTCTTTTATTTTTTTACTATTCCACGTGCTGTTTTTAAGGGCTTGATATTTTATTCTAGTTGTTATTACAAACATTTTTTTATCGAATGTAATACTTTCAGTGAGAGAAACCTCGACCGTAGGAAGAGCTATTATTTCAATTTCCTCTTTTAGCTCCATAAAAAAAAAAAAAAAAAAAAAAAAAAAAAAATCAAATGTACTTTAAAGAATTGAAAAATTTTACATTTTCAGAAAAGTAAGTTATTTTAGAGGGGGGGGGGAAAGAAAAAGGAACAGAGTGAAATTTTTATCGTTTAAAAGTATAAAATGTGTAACATAGAAATGAATAATTAAAAAAAAAAAAAAAAGACTAGCCTCATTCGTCTTAATTATAAAAAATATGCTGATTGGATGTTTGGTTTTTTTCAGTGATTTGAAATTGTCTTTTTTATTTCCTTGTACGAAGTAAAAAGGAATTGTAATCGCGAAAAGTTTCAGGCAGCATATTTCAACGAAAATATCCATTTTGACCGCTATAGAATGCAATTTAACGATGTTTTTGCGTGATATTGTACGTAAGGACAGAATAAAATACTCTTTTTTCAAAAAATTATAAAACTGCTTTAAAAAATAATTCTGAAGAGAATTTTTCGTGGCGTCTGTACGAACGTATGTACGTACGTACGTACCCTCGCATAACTCAAAAACGAGTAGCCTCAGAACGTTGAAAATTTGTATATAGGACTGCTATAACATGTAGATGCGCACCCGTATTTTGGTTGCAATCGGCCGCACCAAACGTATATAAATATTTTATATATAATCCACTCTTTACCCGCTCAGTGATCTCAGTTTCTTTACTCTTATTGTTGTAATTGTACATATTTTGCTTTAAAATGATTGAATTATGTGTTTTTATCTTCCGGTTAAGATTTTTGCCTTTAGTTTCTGTGTGCAATATTTTAGAATTATCACAAGTTTAAAGTTGTTTAAATTGCGCTAAGCCGTTTTTATGCGGTCATTGATGTTTACATTTGGAACAGGAGACTAGTGGATTTGTTGCCAATCTAGAGAAACTAGCTTCGCAACAACAAATAACGCATTCATTTATTATTGCCATTAAACATGCTTTTCTTTTCTGAAATTTTTTCGAGAAATAAGCGTTTGAGATTTACTTCGTAATTTTTAAATAGATTTTTGAGTTTTTTGTATTTTGCCTTCTCGCGAATGAGAACTGAATATTAAATAAGAAATATCATCGTCTGTGAAAAACTGTTTCTTTTTTGTTTTGTTTGCTTAATTTCTTTTATACATATTCTAGCTTATTATAGTATTTGAATAGAACATGTGGCAACGATTAGATAATTCTTTAAATGATATACATTTTGTCATTCTGAGTTATAATATGAATGATATATACTGTTAAGTGAACCTAGCGCCATGGTCCTAGTGTCGCTATGGTAAACAAAGGAATTTAAAGAGCATTTCTTATTGTGGTTTATGCGCTGTCGGCGAAGTAGGTTTAATTATCAAAAGTTTAAATAAAATGCAAGAAAAAATGCGTATAATTTTATATTCCGTACAAGAAGTCATGTGTGGTGTACACATCAGATTTTTATTATAACAAGATAAAGTACTGGAAATATATATGCAAGATTAAATGTTAAAGGCATCTATCAGCTATGGATTGGTTTTTGTCTAATAAAAAAAAAATAATAAATACAAAAAAAAAAAAAGAAGAAAACCCTCTCGAAATATTTAGAAATATTTAGGTGCTAGCTATTCATGAATCGATGGATCACATTAAGCTGTGTCGTTATGAAAGCAACAAAATGTAAGACCATTTTGTTTTAAATAATATCAGTTAAGGTTATGAGATAACGCATACAATAAATTTAATTATATTGTTGCGAATTTTCCATATATATAATTAATTTGATAGAAATTATACGTGAAACTGTAACATCTTTCGTATAATATAACATGAAATGCTTCAAAGAGAAGAAGCTTTGCGCGAAAAACAAGAATACAGGGCAAGTTTATTTAATATTGAGTAAATGGTTATATCACTAAATTGGCGAGATATCGGAAAGCTGGCGATGGTTTTAGCGGCTAATTTTTCTCGCCAAATTTGGTGAGAAACCGCCAAATCTAAGCATTTTTACAGGCGTTAATTAAAATTAAAATGTCCTTAGGATAAATGACTTGTAAAATTTTTTTAGAGAAGTCAAAAACATTCAAGATGTGAAAATTTTAAATAATTTTGTACGAAAGTAAAATGCAAAAAAAAGTAGTACTTCGTCGGAAAACCTAGTCAAATCTTGCCTATGAGTATTGTGCAAGCTGCGTTAAGCGTTCCCAAACAAATAATCTGCTATTAAGCGTTGATAGAATTACACATAGTCGTATGGAAAATTAAAAGAATTTGCATATTATGTCAAATTTCTGAAAAACTAATGGATGGATTTTGATAAAATTTGGTATGAAAATACATTTATAACAGATGAAGAGTTGTACCGCTCAAAAGTCCTTTTATTTTCGCATAATTATCACTAAAGCTTACCGTGCAGAGATGCCCAAAATCCACTTTGTTATATCCAACTGAAAGTGAGTCTAATATAGAGTATGGTGCCCTCTCAGGGACAGATCGTGCTGCATGATAGCGTACTGGACAGCAGGCAGTTGAGAAGCCCCTATGGCAGTCGATTCCGAGAATTTGGCGAGAAATCGCCCATTTGGCAAGTTTTAGCGACAAAATTGGCGGTATGCCATGGACGGATGGAGAACCTTCTGGAAACGAATTCTTACCGGTTTAGCCCAGAATGTTCTCGAACACCAGTCAAAAGCTATATAAACCCTGCTGGTAGGCGGAGAGTTAGTGAGTATCGAAAGTGTGCCTCGTCGAGAGGGCGAGTCAGAGTGCCTCGTCTGGACTGCGAGATAGTTAGTATCGAGTTGGTGTCTCGTCTAGCGAGTCAATCCCTGCGGAGTCGATCAATTTGACAGCCGAGCAGCAAGTGCCGAGTGCACCGAAAGAGTCTCGTAGTATGTCGCGGTTAATGCATCGTCGAGAGAGCGTGTTGAGCTCCGGGAACGACTGAACCGAAGAGTCGGGAACTGTGTCCTAGAGTGCATCGCGAGTTGTAGCGTGGAGAGTCTCGAGAGGTACGTGGAGTTCCGAGAATGACCAAGCAGAGTCGGGAGCTGTACTCTGGTGCTTTGCAGTGAAGCTGTCTTCACCGTGATAGCCTGATAACCTGAGGGCTGTGTCGTTGATTGTGTCAGAGTGTTTATAGTAGTTCTTCGACGACTGTAACGTGATTTTGGAGCTGTCCTGAGTCGTACTGGCTAAATGAAGTGTGTTTCGATACTTCATCAAGTGTCGTTGTTATCTACTCCAAATCTACGAACCCCGTACGAACGTGAAAAAAGAAAATAACGTAACAACTGGTGTCAGAAAAAGAAAAACGCAACAATATGTAGGGGTTTGCGGCCATCCAACACGATGTCCACCTGAATGATTTCACCTTCACCACACTAATGATTTTTTTCTCTGATGAGGAAGGGATGGTATGGCGGTCCAGGCTCTCTTCAGGTACGCCAGAAACAACGTTCAGGCTTCATCCTGACTTATCTGTAAAAAGTACAGTGCTCCACTGAAATCTGATCCAAGGCGCAAGTTGTCTGCACCATGCTAAAAGCTCTGTGTTGTGTGTTACAGT